ATATTCATATAAGGCATCATTTCCTTAAGGATAATGTCGAAAAGGGTTTGATTAAATTGGATTTCTGTCAAACTGACAAACAAATTGCATATATTTTGACAAAACCCTTGAATAGAGAAAGGCATGAGAAGATGAGAATGGAACTTGGGATGATTAAGTTAAACTAAGAAAAATGCATCAAGTTCCCTCGGGTATGAAGCTCAAACTGACGTGCTTTGAAATTGTATATTGTGCACAAATGTTATATGTTAAATTACATAGTTGAGACAGGTCTGTAAGTAGGAACATTATTTGTTAAAGCATGTTAACTAGAGTGACATAGATTATGAAAGTCCTTAATTGATTGCATGAGCCTTGTTGAATTGTTCCGTGTACCAAGTTGTATTTGCAAGACTTCTTTGGCAAAATTCAAAAGATCAAATTTTTGTGTTTATTTGATTTTCAAAATTCCTAATTTTTCTATCCAAACACAATTTCTGATGAATGCATCAAATATCCATCTTTATCGTTTGTTCAAAAAGTTACCCAAACGCAACTTATCTCTTCAAACGCGGTTTACGTTTCCCTAAGCAATAAATATAGTGTCAAATCACCATTATTCATCTCACCTACTCCAAACGACACCTCACAAAATTCACTTCACCTATTTACCTCCACAATAAAAAAAGGATGTCAGCCTCACCAAAATTTACACCGCTCGAAAAATTACCACATCACTTCCCAAACCGATCAAACTTCTCTCCCATGGATATCTCACCAAAAACCCTAGCAGAAACTGAAGCAAACCCAAACACAATTCAAGACACCACCATGGAATCCCATGCGGAAAATCAAATCAAAGAGATCTCTGAGCCTCCAAAGAATGAATCAACTACCGAATCTCAATCTTCTTGCAAACGAAAGATATAGATGACATGCAAGAAGAAGAAGAGAGCATTTCGGAAATGGGTGTCAACTATCGTGACAAGCCTCCTACCATGAAAAGGCAAGAGAAAATTGTTGAGCACTATGTGACAGGTTTCTTACTTAATTTTCCTTGGTGTTAAACTGTTAAATTGTATCAATTGCTTGATTTGCTTGAGTTTCAAAATTGGGTCAATTTGTTTAGTGAATGTTTTAATCGGAGCATGTATGTAGATGTATGAAAGATTTTTGTAAGAATTTTAAGTATTCTGAGGGAACAATTCATAGCAAAGTGTATGGTAAAGAAATTGAGTTTGATGCGTTGTACTTGGCTGAGTTGTTTGATGTGCCTAATACTGGGTATAATCATTATTTTAAGTATACCATTCGCAACCCTCTTCCTGATGCTAACATTGATGAAATTGTGGAGTTCCTTGGAACCTTGAAGAAACCTACATAAACCATAACCAACTCATTCCTCTTAACAAAATTCTGCTAAAATTTGTGTTCAATGACATCATTCCTCGCACTCAAAAGCGAGATGTAGCAACAAGCTAGATGCAACCCTCATTTACTTCCTTGCCCATAAAATACCTACCAATTTTCCTTGCATCATGATCCAACACCTTACCCACTGTGTTCCAAAAGGATGGAAAGTTGAATATGCCAACCTTCTCACCACTGTCTTTGAAAGCTTCAACATTTCTTTTGCTAAATCTGAGCCTTTACCTCTCAAAAACACCGAATACATGCAACCTATATTTCTTGATAACCATAAATTGAAGGTTGTGGATGGCTGTTTTGAAGTTGTGAAGGAAGAAAAGAAGCCAAAATAAGTGGGTTCTGTAGCTGGGGGGGAAAGCATAGGAAGAAAAGGTAGTAGGGTTGATTGAGAGCGTAATACAGGAAATTAAGGAGGATGTTGAGGGAGATCAGGGTGAAGAGGATAAAAGGAGTGTAGAGGAGGTAACTGAGACAGGGGGAAGGAAAAAGAGAAAAAGCTTGAGATTGATGAAAAAGAAAGAAACTCCTTCTAAAATATGCATTGATCTTTCTAGTGCTCAGGAGGAAATGCATAAGATTCCTAGTACTCTTATTTCTATCAAGCATACATCTTCAAGTACAGGGTTCGCAGCTTTCAGCTCTCCACCAAAGGTTCCTAGTGAGGAGAGTATGAAGGAGATGAAGGAACTCCTCCAGAAGGTGCTCAAGGAATAGGTGAAGACCCAAGAGAAGATGGAGGAACTGAAGAAGAGTGTGCTCACTCTGGATGGTGACCTGAAGAAGCTGGTCTCAAGCACTAAGAAGGCAAGACTTGCTACTGTCAAATACATTGTGTCTCAGATCAGCAAGAAGCTAGAGGATCTTGCTGTTGATGATGACCAGAGCACTTCTTCTTAGTTTTTATCCTACCTAGCTACCCCTTTATTTTGATGATACTATGTGTATCTTTGCTTTTGGAAACAATTTCTTTTTGTTTGTAATTATTGGGTACTTTTATCTTTTGCTAGACTTGTGAATTTGGTACATTTGGCCGATGTTTTAAATTGGTTTTGGATGATTAGTATCTATGTTTAATTTGCGTATATGCCTTGTGAATATTTGTTCTCTATGAATGCTTCCTGTCTTAACACCAAACCACTTAGATTGATGCTGTGTTATGGTATACTATTGCTTGTGTGTTGGTTTTTGATAATGCCAAAAGGGGGAAAAGGGTACAAAGATAAGGTACAAAGATGAGGAGTTACAAAGAGTAATATGACTAATATCCATGTTATCACAAACTAGATGACTTACATTTACGATCTATTCTGCCGCTCTATTTGTTTCTCTATAAACTTGATTAATTTTTCATTGTTGAAGCTTTTGAAGAAAAAAGAGGATGTCGATAATGATGTAATCGGTTTTCATGGAATAGACCAAACTCCTTTGACTACATTGACTACTACTCCCTCCGTGTTTAAATAAATTAAAATTTTTTTCTTTTGCGGCCGTGTTTAAATAAATGAAACGTTTCCTTTTTTTTTTAGTAACTTCTCTCTATATTTTAATAATATTCTGCTTTTTTTTTAATAATATTCTACTAACTAGTGATCCCCACAAAATCACTTACTTTCTTCTCTCTCCTCAGACTTATACCCCACTACCTATTATTTAAATAAATTCAACTAACCTTCCTAAAACTCCATGAAAGTCAAAATGTTTCATTGATTTAAACAAAGAGAAAGTAGAAAATTATCACCTTCGATGAGTAAATATTGAATCTCATGCTGAAGAGCAAGAAGGATGTCTTTATTGTCACTTGATCTATATACTTCATACAAAGTATATTTTTATACCCACCTATTTATTTATTTATTTATTTTTATGATAAATAAAAGGCACGTCATCCTATATCCTTTCAAGGTATAAGAATACAGAGTAAAAATGTAGAACTTACATTAGGAATACCCCGCGTGAGGAGGGCTTCCTAATGATTAATTTTTCTTACCTTTAAAAAACATTAAAAAAAATTAAAAAAAAAACAATCGAACATTCGGATGATTGAAGTGGCATTACTGCATTAGCATTCGTACTACCACTTCATTACACCACAATAGACCTGGTTATTGGGTGGGTCAGGTCAGGGTCGGTGCAGGTTGGGTCAAAGAGGGTCACAAATTATAGGGCCAATAGCAGGTCAATAATAAACGGGCCAACAAACTATCAATTAAAATAAATATCAGACAAAGCCATATTTAAGTATATATGAATACAAAAATATGCATGTAATTTTTTTTACGTTGTCTATTTTCTTATGTTATAAATTGGAAAAATATTTTGGCCCTATATTGACCCTACTCAATAAGGGCCATATAAGCTTGGCCTTTATCCTATTATCATTGGGCTACTTTATCCAATAATCAGGTCTACTCCACAGTACAGTAATAAGTCTAATAAACTTATGGCCATTGTAATTGTAATATCTAGCTATCTATACATCTATACACAGTATTTAAAAACACAAACCACAAATCATTCATATGCCACATGTAATCACAGATCACTCATATGCCGCATGTCACCCCCCCTTAATCTTCCTTTTTTGTATTCTCTTTTTAATATAAAAATTAAAATAAATATATTATAATGTTTAAGTCTTTATGCATTCCGTAACTTGCAAATTTAATTAAGAAAATAAGGTGCTTCATTTCCACCATAATAAAATAAAGTTGAACTATTAGTACACATTACATAAACAAATGAAGTATTATAAAAATAATCTTTTCATCTCTTAAACTTAAAATATAACTTAAACTAATATGTCATTTCATATCCCACAATATTCATGTATATATACTTACCAAAATTCCTTCATCTTCTTCCACAGTTCTACCCTCACTCTTTTTTTTCTCTTAAGTTTTATCAGTGAACTTCATTAATCTCATTGATCATGAAACAATTTACTTCGTATTTTATATCAAAAGTTCCAACTATTTAAAAGAAAACCTATATATAAAAATAACCTAAGTAATAATTAACCCGTGCATCGAACAGACCAAAAGGCTAGTTGCACTAATACGTGCTCCCTCTGTTTTTATATAAGTGCCCCATTTTAACCGTCACACTTGCTAACGTACAACTTTGACTAATGATATCTTTAATTATTGATAAGGTTGCATTTTAAAACTGTATAAGGTTGTGAGATCGAAATCCACTAAAATTAAAATACTTTGAGATGGGGATTCCCTTACTTTTCCCTCCACTTTCAAAATACCTAGACTGTTAATCCGAATTAAATGGACATATTAGAGGTTTCGATATGGTAAGACCCTTCTTATCAATAAAAAAATTAAAGTTTAAACTTTGAGAAATTTCCAGTTTATACTGAAATTATTGAACAATTGAACACGTGTGTGGACAAATTGGACAGATGAGTAGATGACCAAATATATATGTGGACACCTACTGGACAAGTATTGCACAACTAATTAATTACCTTAATTGTGCAACTAATAATGAATGTAGAAAATACAAGTATTCCATAATCCATATGCGTGATAGTGGTGATACAATAAAAAAAAAAGCACCTCCTTATCCTTCCAAAAAATCTAAAAATGGCACATCACCTTATCTTGTTATCATCAACCATACTTGTTGCACTCCTCATTCTCTCTCCTCCCACGGCCGCGGCCTCTCCCGTCCTAGACATAGACGGGAACCCACTCGAAGCAGGCTCACAATACTATGTCCTCACTTCAGGCAGGGGAGCAGCAGGCCGCGGTGGCTTAACAGCTGAACCCGATCTTTACGATGGCATTTGCCCTTTGTACGTAGGGCAGTATTATAGCTGGACTAAACAAGGTAGCCCCGTGAGTTTCCATCCTGCAGACCCATCACAAACACAAGTAACTCTAGGCGAAGACGTCAATATTGCCTTCGGACCAAGCTACGTCTGCAGAAACCAAGGGGTGTGGCAGCTCGGTACTACCACTGGTGAAGTATTCTACTTAACTACCAACGGAGTTATCGGAAATGCCTCGAATAAGGCCGATTGGTTCAAGATCGAGCAAGCTGCTTTTGGACCTGGATCATACAAGATAGTTTACTGCTTTGCCACACCTGTTACTGATAGCAGTTCTCAGACTCAGAGGAGTGAAAACTGTCAGCAGTTCGATTCTACGGCACCCGGGCCGCCCGGTTCAGACTGGTCCTGGTTAAGTTTCGTGCCCATTGATGATCCTCTTCCCTTCTTTGGGTTTGTGTTCAAGAAGTTTACTAGTACTAGTACTTTTTTGAACCCCAAGTTTACTACTACTAGTAGTTACTCGTAATAATCACTACTAATAATTTGTGTTTGTTCGACCGTTCGAGTAGCTAGCTAGCTTGCTCTAGCTTATCGTAAATAATGATTTATGTGCTCTATGTTGAAATTAAATAAAGGCCACCTGTCTTTAAATTATGACATATTAGTAACTCTTATGATGGATTTAGCTTATCCTACTCTCTCTATTATTGATATTCGTAACAATTTGATCTTCACTTTTCAAAAACAAATGTCCTATTTGATTGGTATATTTGCTAATGCGAAACTTTATCAAATACTCTCTCCGTCCCATAATACTTTACACAGTTATTATTTTCGTCTCTCAAAATACTTGATATCTTATTATATATGGAATGAAATTACTAATAAAAAAATATTTTTCTGCACTCTCTTTAGGACCAGTGGACCACAAACCCCAAAACCCAAAACCCAATTAAATCCTACATTTTCTCTCTCTTCACTACCCTCACCTCCCCCACTTTCTGTTTTCTTACAATATTTTTAGCAGTATACAGTAAGAAAACAGAAAGTGGGGGAGGTGGGGGTAGTGAGGAGAGAAAAAATATAAGATTTATATTCTGTTTTCTTACAATATAAAAATACAAAAGAGAATCCTTTATACGAAGTATAATAAACAAATGTTTTAAATGGGTCACTCGTAGTTTTCTTAAATTACGTATCCACCCCAACGTCCCAAGTTATAGGACGGAGGGAATAATATATTTAATCGTACAAAAATTTACTTATATATTATAAGAAGGTGATATTCAAATATTATACATACATACAAGTATATAAAGAACAAATGAAAGTTAAAGTGGCCTGGTATATAAATTAAACAGTTCAAAAGTTAAATTAGGACATTAGCAAGCTAAGTATGGTACGGTATAATTATGTTGGTTAGGTTATACTGTATTTTTTATTAAATGAAAAATGTGAGATTCAGGCTTCAGCATCCATAAATGATGCCTTCCATCTTGAAATAATGATAGGCTCTTAGACATCGAAAAGACTGAAAATCTGTAATAAGTTTTTTTTTTTTTTTTTTTTTTTTTTTTTTTTTTTTTGACACAGTAATAAGGATTAATTAACGACCACAATTTTTACTTTTAGAACATTCCCAGCAGTGAGGGAAAAACTCCTCACGAGGAGAAATAAGGGTTGAAAAAGAAAAAAAAAATGCTTCACACTAGTGAGGAGTTTTAATTCTCCTCATGAGGAGAACAAGAACCTCTCAACTCTTGAGGAGTTTTGGAAATGAATAGTGTAGCAGCGGGACCCACTAAAAAATGCTAAAAGTAATTTTATAACGGTTATAAATCATATTTATTTATTTTTAAAAAAAAAAGTTTACCCATGATCATAAATTTTTTTTTCTCTATAAATAGACATCCATTTTCATATATTTTGACATATTTTCAAAAACAAAAAAAATATCCTATATTCATTAATCACTCAATTAAATTTAAAACGTAATTAACTAAACTAAAAATAAAAACTTATGAATTTAATTACATTTTAATTGTATTGAAAAGTTAAATATGTAGTATAAACATTATTAAAAAATAAAGAGAAAATTAAAAAGGTGATGTGTATTATGATGGAGTATAGTAAATAATGGAGGATAAAGTGATGAGGAGTTTTTTTTTTTTTTTGAGCATTAATGTAGTAAAAAAAACCTCTCATGAGAGGAATTGGATGGAAAGAGTGAGAAAGTGGGTAGAGAGAGATTGAGAGGTTTTTTTTTCTCCTCACTGCTGATAATGGTCTTAGGAATAAGAAAAAATAACAGGAGAGGAGAGACAAGAAAAAGAATCAAATAGCTAAGATAAGAACCATTAAAATTCAAAATAGCAAATTTTATGTTAATGTCGTGAGCCTCGTGGCATATAAATGTTACGTAGATTACCTTTAAAATTAAAAAATAAAAAAGACAAAAACGAAGTAAATAATGGAGGATAAAGTGATGAGGAGTTTTTTTTTTGAGCATTAATGTAGTAAAAAAAAACCTCTCATGAGAGGAATTGGATGGAAAGAGTGAGAAAGTGGGTAGAGAGAGATTGAGAGGCTTTTTTTCCTCACTGCTGATAATGGTCTTAGGAATAGGAAAAAATAACAGGGGAGAGACAAGAAAAAGATCAAATAGCTAAGATAAGAACCATTAAAATTCAAAATAGAAAATTTTATGTTAATGTCGTGGGCCTCGTGGTATATAAATGTTACAGTAGATTACCCTTTAAAATTAAAAAATAATAAAGACAAAAACGCTAGAAGGAGGGGTCGAACCTCCGACCTTGTGGTTAACAGCCACACGCTCTAACCAACTGAGCTATTCCAGCTACAATAATCAAGTTAGGAAAATTTAAAAATAAATACTCGTATATCTATTATAATGGTTGAAATACAAAGTAAAGATAGTACTGTAGTTTACCTTCTTTTTTGTCATAGCCGTTTTTGGTTGCTGAATGACATTGGTCAGGACTCAGGCTTGCCAAGTTCATTAATTATTGCGAATTTTTTTTTACGATATTTAAGAAATGGAGGAGAAAGTGGATGAAATACATTAAAGTGGACAAAGTTAAACAAAAGCACAAGGCAAGTGGATAATTTAAAGGGAAAAAAAGTGAAAATTACAATTATAGACAAAAGTTAGAGAGAGAAAGTGGAAAAAAAAGTACAAAACAAGTAGATAATTTAAGGGTAAATTAGGAAGTTCAATGAATAAAGTTAAAAAAATGAGGGTATAAGCCGCGCTGGTGCTGACGCGCCACATTGGGTGCTGATGTGCCGTGTTGGGATTGTCGCAGTGCGTTGGTCCTAGCGTTGTGCGCTTGTTTTAAAGAATATTCAAGTTCGTATGGAGTTTGATTTCTAATAGAATTAGATTTGTGAAATATATCCGGACGTATTTGAATTTGAATGGGGTCTTTACATACTATCCAATAACGGAAACAAGAACAATATTTTAGATCTCCAAAATAAAAAAACAAAAACTTTAATATGGGACGGAGGAAGTACTCCGTAGTTATAAATCTATCATGCATGGGATTAAATGGGAAGACTGAAAATAAATTGCCTGTCCTCACGAATGCAAAAATAATGAATGCTCCTAGACTCACAAGCTTGTTGCCTTGTACATTGTTTTCAGCATTCCATCACTTTTTTAATCAAGTATGGAGTATAATTTTACTGTATTACGTTTTCCACACACACAAAAAAAAAAAAAAAAAAAAAAAAAAAAAAAAAAAAAAAAAAATATATTAAATTCATAACTATAAAAAATGTTAATATAGACAATTTTTTTTAAAAGATAGATAATCAAAATATCAAATGATTTAATATCAAAAACTTTATGTATAAGTCGGTATATTTTGAGATGTTTTATAATCCTAACTAGATTAGTACTCGTGAGAGTATTCGTAAATTAAAAGTTTTGCAATAAATATATATATATATATATATATATATATATATATATATATAAAACATGTATATTTTGAATATTAGAGTATAAATTTATTTAAGTGGAAAATGAAGAATTGATGAAAAATTGAAAAGTTGTCATGTGAACAATAATAATGTCAGCGGATTTTGCTTTATTAGTTATAAGATTAGACAAGATAAAAAAATGCATATATGTTTTTATTTATTTATTTTTATTTTTTTAATTTTCAACTCCATACTTTTGATGATCATTGAATTTCAAGCTATAATAAGAGAGTATAATATCTTTGATAAAGTCGGTTGTACATAGAAATTGCCCGAGTTTGATTGTAAAACATATCTACCTAGTATATTCTTAAAGATCCAAGTCAAGCATCCACCTACTGCTCTTCCAATTTCCTGCTTCAAAGTTCAGACAACTCAACATTTAGACAAGCTTGGTCCAGTGAAAAGGGTTGTACTTTCCAACCTTGAGGTTGGGGGTTCAATCCCCACTAGAGCCACTTTTGGGAATTTGTTGGTATATTTCAATCCAATATGTAATCATCTCTACTATACAAGCATAAAGTATTATGGAGTATCATACATCATTTACAATAACATCAGTTAGGTACCAAACATTATGATGGCGTCAACTGATAGTGTGAAAGAATTTGAAACAAAGAAGTTTGCCCTTCCAGTAGATGCAGAGCACAAGGCTACAACCTTTTCGTTAATGTCAGTTGCAAAGCCTCATATGCGGGCATTTCATCTATCTTGGCTCCAGTTCTTTGCCTGCTTTCTATCAACGTTTGCTGCTCCGCCCCTCATTCCTATCATTCGTGACAACCTTAATCTTACGGCCACTGATATTGGTAATGCAGGGATTGCATCAGTGTCAGGGGCTGCGTTTGCCCGTTTGGTCATGGGCACTGCCTGCGATTTAGTTGGGCCTAGAGTAGCCTCTGCAGCTCTCACCCTCCTTACTGCACCTGCAGTTTACCTATCTGCCACAGCAGACTCACCCACAGCCTTCTTGCTCATCCGTTTTTTTACAGGATTTTCTTTAGCCACTTTTGTGTCAACCCAATTTTGGATGAGTTCCATGTTTTCTCAACCAGTAGTTGGCCGAGCTAACGGTATTGCAGCCGGGTGGGGCAACCTTGGAGGTGGGGCAACCCAGATGATCATGCCTCTTGTGTATAAACTCATCCTTGGGATGGGAGCCACAAACTTTACTGCCTGGAGGATAGCATTCTTCATTCCTGCTGTTTTACAGACTCTTTTGGCATTTGCAGTGTTGCTTTTCGGGCAAGATATGCCTGATGGAAATTTCCAGCAGCTCCACAAGTCAGGTAAAAAGCACAAAGACAACCTTTCAAAGGTTATATATCATGGACTTGCTAATTATAGGGGCTGGATTACTGCCCTGTGCTATGGATACTGTTTTGGGGTGGAGCTTACCGTGGATAATATCATTGCTCAGTACTTCTTTGATAGATTCAATCTCACCCTGCATACAGCTGGGATTATAGCAGCCAGTTTTGGCTTGGCAAACATTTTTGCCAGGCCGGGAGGTGGATTGGTGTCAGATTTGCTAGCAAAGAAGTTCAGAATGAGGGGAAGACTCTGGGGCTGGTGGATTATCCAGACTGTAGGTGGTATACTATGCATTCTTCTGGGACTGATGAACTCTTTAAGTGGATCGATTGCAGTGATGCTCGTCTTCTCTGTGTTTGTTCAAGCAGCCTGTGGACTTGCATTCGGGGTCGTACCTTTTGTCTCTAGAAGGTAAGTTTTTTAACACATCTCTTGCAATGTATCTGCTGCCTCCTGCAAAAGCATTTATTTTAGTGATCATTTAGTTGGTATGAAAATACACAGCCGACAAAGGAAGTTGAATTTCTACTATAGTAGAAACAAATGCAGTTGTTTGGTTGACAATAACTTCCCACGGAATGGAGAAAGTAGCTAATTCACCTAGTCCCTCCATGTAAATGGTAATTCTCATGAAAAAGTGAGCATCCCACATTCAACTTGGCAAAATTTGACACTTCCTCAAACATAAAACTCAATCATGTAAAAGGTATTCAAAATAAGAGTAGAAGAAGAAATTAATCCTGATCATTTTGGGTGAAGCATGAAACTTGAGAAAGAGGTAATTTGAAAGGCTTATTAACTATAAGCCACGATTTCCAAAAATACGTATGAGAGAGCTTGTATAATGTGTATAGAGAACAACAAAAAGATGCATACAACCTGTAACATGATGCAACTACTCAAGATTATCAAGCCAAGACCTTTTAAGCTCTATAAGTTCAGGATAGCGGGACAGATATATGAAACCATGCTCAAGAAAAAAGAAATGAGTATCCTAAAGAAAAGAACTGGAGTAACTGGACTATCCAACTTTGCATGTGGAGAGAAGTAATCTGATAGCAGAGATATAGCCATAGGTTACAATTAATGATGAAGATATGATTTCTCCTCAAGCTTACAGGAAGATCTTGTGTTCCTAAAGTCTATCTATATCAATTTCAGATCATTGGGCGTGATTTCTGGTATGACAGGAGCCGGTGGAAATGTGGGTGCGGTTTTAACTCAATTGATTTTCTTCAAAGGATCTCAATACACAACAGAAAGGGGAATAACCTATATGGGTATTATGATTGTAGCATGCACTCTCCCCATTAGTGCCATATACTTCCACAGTGGGGAGGCATGTTTTGTGGTCCTAACACAGATACTTCAGAAAACGACTACTATATGGAGGAATGGGATTTAAAGGAGCAGCAGGAAGGACATCATCAGGCAAGCTTGAGATTTGCAGACAGCAGCAAGAGTGAAAGATGCAGAAGACAAAGGTCTGCACACCCAGACGAGAGCCTGCCATCATGTGTATGACTAATTTACTGTCGGTAGCCTCATTTGCCACACACACTGTTTGATGAAGTCTCAAAAGTCTATGCCACTTATACACTTTATGTTATGTACTTATGTTCATATGTTGAATTCCCATGTCGGACAGTTAACACTCACATGAAAAGAGTTTGAAATATCCTAATGCAACACATCAAATTTCACCTCCACACCTTGAACCATAATTTCACTAAGGAGAAAGTTATGTGCAATGCATGCTTACAAACAAGAATCAGCCAATAAAACGACTTGTAATTTTCGTATATGTAGCATTTGTAATGTCTGCACATGTAAAAGCATTACACTTATATGCAAATTTTTTTCGAGATTAGCTTCAACAAGAGTGGGCTTTGTTAGAGGTAATCAACATTCAGCCTAATGTCATCTATGCACCAATAATCAGTAATGCATAATGAAGGGTTATTTCTTATTTGCAATGCTAGTAATGATACATTTATCCAAACCATAGTCACAGCTCACAAGACAACTAAAATTCAGATTATGAATCCTGTATTAATCAATTCCATCAAAACCAAACATCTATGCTGAAACCCCAAACCCAGTTAATATCTAAGTATGACCTGTGTAATTAGGCTGGCTTACCTGTAACTGTTAAGAGATATTCATATCTCCTTGTTAATAGCTGTAGTCATCTTCTTTCCTTAATTATAGCTTCTGTTTTTATTCTTTATTGACTATTATTCACGGTCAATCATATTTTAGGTTGTTACTGATTTCTAGCCTTAATTGTAGGCTTTACCATAGCTTAGTATCCTTTGGTAGGTTATTTGCTTTCTCTGTGTATAGTTGTAAATACTTACTTTGCTATTCAATACAAAATGTATTCAAACTCTAATAGTAACACCGTCTCGAAACCTAATAAATTAAATCCTAGCTTATATATTATATTGATTCTATTCTTGACTCTTTGATTTCAACCCTGAATTCTCCAAACTCTAATATTTGGATTTCTAGTAGTGTAGTAAATTTTCATCAGTCAAGATTCATTATTTCGTTCAATTTGGTTCAATTTCAGTGAACATAAAAGCTGACCAGTAAAATTATATACATAGAGAAAGCATGGAAAATAATCTATAAGATCAGACCCAGTTATAGATGATAAAAATGAAAGGTAAATTCGAAAAAATAAAAGCACCTGAAATAACAAGATGAGATGAGTGGGCGCTAGTTCAGAGTGATATGGGCACGTTGTGGCTGGAGCTGCGACGCATGTATGCTGGTCTTTGGCCTTTTGCTAAGCATAAGGGCCAACGGGAATCTATACTACTATATATTAAAAGGTGTTTATAAATTTGTATACGTGTCGCGTGCAAACTTCATTGAATGGAAATCATATGTATTACCATCTTGATTAGAATTAATTCATGTTCTATTAATCCAAATTTATATATAAATACATACATGTATTAGAATGTAGAATAAATTATTGTTGTCATTGTATTCTAATTTACCAATGTTAAAAAAATTAATAAATCTTTTACAGCGTCTAATATAAAAATAAAATTATTCAAAGTATCATCCGGAGCAAAGCATGGATCACACACTAGTTGTAGCGTAAAAAGATGATTTTTAAGGGGGTTATTTACTTATTTTTACAAAGAGTTACGAAGTACTCGTATTCATCACTCTTGTTCCAATAAATATTGTAATTTGTAACAATTCATTGCGCTTGTTTCAGCACATACTCTCTCTATTTTTAAAATAATTGATACAATTAAACTTTGTAAGAAAAGTTGGTATTTGTTTGACCTTATTATTATACTTCGTATAACATTAATGAAAATATTATAAAAATGTTATATTGAAAGTTCATATTAATACCTATCTAACAATATATTTATAATGACGAAAGCTAACGAACGCCTCGAGGACGTTTGATAAGATAACTAAAAGTAGAAATATTAAATTAAAATAACATTAATTACATCGATCGACGCGTGATTTTGTCATACATTCCCAAATTAATACCACTTTCGGTAATATTTTAAATGTTTATCTAACGCCCCGGGGCATTCGTTAGCAAGATTCATTTATAATAAAATATTTTTTTATCATGTTAGTAAATGATTATTGTCAAAGTTAATATATGAATAATGAAAAAAAGTCCAATGTGTTAAGTATTCTAGGACGGGGGGAATATCATGATTTATATGTTAAAAAAATATACGAGTAGTCATGTGAAGCCTTGTTAGATTCGTTTTGTAATATAATATTAATATTTTTATAATTTTTACTATTTTATAATTACACTTCGTACATATTTAACATATAAATTGTGCTTTGGAAAGCGTAATTTCATCCTTGTTGCAATATTACTAGAATAGGAGATCAAGAAGTATATTAGGAATAAATTTTAGTGAGTAAGAACTATACTTCGCAGTAAAATTTTGATAAAGACAATGACCATGTTTAGTAAATGGTTATTTAGTAGCTTTATAATTAGCCTTTGATTATTTTTTTTAATTTTTTTGGGTCAAATAGAAAAAAGAAAAAAAAATTGACGAATGATTTTTTGATCTACTGAAAGTTGACTTTTAAGCCAAAATATAAAAGTTAATGGGAGTAGTTTTTAGATTTTAGCTTTTGTATTTATTTTTTTTTGACAACCGCTTTTGTATTGTTAAATGGTTTTTTTTTTATCCTCAATTAATACTCCATCCGTCTTTAATTTTTTGCCCCATTGCAAATATGTAGGTCAAATTTTAAAAATCTGACTATCAATTTCTGTTTATATATAAGAAATAATATACAGTAGTAATGTAATAAGATCTTAAATACATCTCAATCTGTATATTATTATTTATATCAGGTTTTTATAATTTATATATATGAATACGGAGATATATACATTTTAATACGTGTTTTGAATATCGTGAAAAGTCAAATAAGGAAACACAATTAAGGACTGAGTGAGTATCTAATAAGAGTTATTAATACCTCACTAATAATAAATCAATAACGAGAGTGAGGGATAGCTCAAGTGGTTAGAGTTTCCTTCCTAATTCCAGGAGATCGAATGACTTATTTTTTTTCAAGTAATAAAGTATAATTCTTTATTTTACGTATAAAATAGTATCATCAACATTTTTTTTTATTTATCCAATTTTTAGTTTTATTTATGTAATTTTTTATTTTTCATTTTGGGACTAAGGTTTTGTTATTGTTGTTGTTTTTTTTTTCTTTTTTTTATAATTTCTCGAAAAATACAGTTTTTTTATTTTTTTATATTGGAGTAAAATTTTCAAAATTATATTTGCATTGTAGATATTAAAAGACTAGCTAATTATGTCCATATGATAATGTAAAAATTAAAAGTAAATCAATCATATTGTTTTATCATTAATTAAAATACTATGTTAGTCATATTTCAAATTAAGAATTTTTATATTCATCTTGAACCAATCAAATATTCAAATTAAATTCCACATTTTTTTTATTCACCATAAAAATAACTCTCTCTTTATTTAAATTCCTTAAAATGTGTAAAAGACAAATAATGTGACTTTTATTTGAGTGCTAAAGAATGTAGTATATGAACAAGTCACACAACTCAATCCAAAACACAAAAATAAGAAAGTCTACTGATAATGTGAATAGTGATAAGTACGGAGTAACATGGTTTGTTGATCTGATCCATCCATGATTATGAATTTGATTCCTTAAATTAGCTAGATAGCATAGGATCCGAGTTCTCAACCACCAGCACATGACATTTCAATCAAGACATTTCAACCACATTATCCTACGGGGAATTCCATGTGAGGAACAGGTTTTGTTCCTCATAGGGTATGTGTCAAGATCTGAGAGTTCCACTCATTACACATAGGCGGTCGTCACAAGTGAAAAACATCACATTATTTTCCAAAATGCCATTATGAGGAACAAAAGTGTTCCTCATGATGAGGAACTGGGGCTCCCTCTTTTGCGCCAATTTCCTGTTCATCTTTTTGATTGATATAAGACATTAATCTAGGGGTATTATGGGTATTCGAGCCATTTAAAGTGAGGCTAACCCGGTAAATTTCACTGAGTGACATGCACATTGTGCCACGTTGTATGACTCCTCATTACACGTCAGTAGACGGAGGTGCTACCTTAGTTAACGCTAGGGGCTTGGCCCTGGAAACATTTTTGTGAAATAAAGTTGAGTTGAACTATAATATTGTATAAATTTTGCTAAACTTTAAGTAAGCCACTAAGACCATTATCAATGGTGGGCAAAAATAATGCTTGCCCAATATCTCTCTACCCACTTTCTCTCTCAACAAATCAGTTTTGCCCATGGGCAATTTTTTTTCACAATTTCTCTCCCAATGGTGAGCAAAAATAATGCTTGCCCACCACTCTCTCTCTTACTTTTTCAATACCCCACCATTACTTTCTCTCTCCTACACAACACTTTTTTATTTATTAATTTGATTTATATTTTAGCAATATTACTCCAAATAAATAAAAACTAGTCTAAATTTGTGTAACTTATTTTTTTTTATTTGTGTCGTTTTTATCGGTAAAATTTGTCGTTAAATTATGTACGTTAGATGAAATAATTGTAACAAAACGCTAAAAATTTCGTAAATATTTTTATTTATTTTAAAAAGCGGTACAGTACTGGAAACCGATTACATTTGAAACGTCATGTGTAATTAAACTAGGCCATAGTACTTGGCCTTATTTAAGTCGTGGTAATAAAATAAACAAAACAATTAAAAAAAACCCGACTGCGTACGAAAAAGTAGGTAGGCCATTGTACTTGGCCTTATTTAAGTCGTGGTAATTTTTCCCTAATTAGTTGGCCCGTATTGTAACCAAATATGTTCGACTAAATCACTTTTCAGAGATAGATGAATTTCTCTATCACGGAGGGAAGCTTTTCGTTATAGAAATGAGCTAAAGTCAAAGTTGGTAGGTCGGCCTACGTTGAATTCAAACGGTGGCGTTGTAGATGTTGATGCTGATGTTAATTCTTATTGATCTTCTTCGTAGAAGCTTCTTAGAACTTCGGCTCGAGTGTAGTTGTGGCGCTTATCTTCAACAATCATGTTGTGCATAATGATACATGCTTTCATTTTGTCCCGCAGTATGTCCTCATCGTACGCCAGTGACGGTTTTCGTATTATTGCAAATCGAGCTTGCAAAACACCGAAAGTTCTTTCAACGTTCTTCCGAGGAGCAGCCTGGTGGTCAGCGAACATTTTATCCTTCTGAAGTTGAGGGTGTGTGATACCCTGAATAAAAGTTGCCCACTTCGGATAAATGTCGTCGGCTAAGTAATAAGCCATGTTGTATTCATGGTCGTTAACTGTAAAATTTACCGGAGGAGCTCGACCATGCAGAATCTCATCGAACATTGGTGAACGGTACAACACATTAAGATCATTACAAGATCCGGGAATACCAAAGAAGGAATGCCAGATCCATAAATCCTGATCCGTAACGGCTTCCAATATTAGCGTTGCTTTCTTGTTTCTATTGGCGTACTGCGCTTTCCAAGCCGTTGGAAAGTTCTTCCATTCCCAATGCATGCAATCAATGCTGCTCATCATGCCTGGAAAACCACGCAGTTCATTTTGATGCAGTACTCGGGCCAAATCACCAGTTGTAGGGTTTCGCAGGTACTCAGTTCCGAACTGATCAATGACTTCGGCACAAAAACGTTGAAGGGCAACTCGAGCGGTTGACTAACTGATTCGAACATATTCATCCACGACGTCTGTAGCCAAGTCGTAGGCTAACATTCTTATCGCGGCTGTACATTTTTGCAGAGGTGATAAGCCTAACCTTCCAGCTGCATCCCTACGCTGCTGGAAGTAAACATCACCTTCAACGACCTTGTTCATTATACGTGAAAACAAAGGTCGTTGCATTCGAAATCTTCTTCTAAATTGGTTGGTGTTGTACACAGGATTATCGGAAAAATAATCATTAAACAACCTGGCATGTCCCATTTCCCTATCTCTTCTATTCGTACCCCCTCTGGGTATTTCTGTAGGGGGTTGGGATTGTGTTTGGGGCATGAGGAAAGTTGGGGTTGGTATATGAAGAGTTCATCAACGAGTTGATCATATTCTTCAGTATTTGAAGAAGATGAACTTGAACTTGATGATGGTCTGGGATACATCTTGTATTAATAATGCGAGTTTCTGAATTGGTGTGGTTGTGGATATGTGCCATGCTTACTATATATAGCAAATATATCAAATGAATATGTGGTTACAAATCTGAATGACCACACCAACTGAAGTTTTTTTTTTTTTTCAGAATTCGCATACCAAAACGCATCGTTTTGATGTGCCTCCTTCTCTGCTGCTTCCCTAAACGCGTCGTTTAGGCTGCTATCCACCGAATTTTTTTAATTCCATCAGCTCATATGTGGGGCCCACCAGCTTACTATTCATCCCAATTTTTGCCCAAGTCTTGGGCAAATTAATACATGCCCATGGGCAAGTTTTCTTTAGCCCACCATTGTAAGACAACTAATGACATACTTGCCCACCAAAATGTCCATGAGCAATTCTTTGGCCCACCATTGTAAGTGCTCTAAGGAGAAGAAGAATAGAAGAATAATAGAAGATATGTGACAACAATGTTAAGCTTTAATAAGGAAATAAAAAATCGTTTTATATTTTATAAATCAATCTGAATGTGTATATTTAAAATAAAATTTGTCTAAGAGTTTTAAGTGATGATTTCTAATTATTAAAAGAGTTAGCTACAAGTCTTACTTGAATTTTGCTAGATAATGAGATTGTGACATTGTGTTTCTCATTTATGATATGATAAATGTTAATTACACTCATTAACATGAACTAAGATCGAAGTATAACCATTAACATGAAATTTCATCATAAACAAATTGACATTAACTTGGTTGGTAATTAAAAACACTCATTGATATCAAGAATGTACTACATACAATTAAAGACACGAACTTGATCATTTTTAAAAAACTTGATCATTATTAAAAATCATTCTAATGGCATTATTAAATTAACTTCTTTTTTTATTAAATTCATGCTACTGAGTGTCTTTAGTGTCCATTCTCAAATTAATTTAAAAATGCGGACAATTTTGTGTCAATAGTTTAAGTTGAGTCATGTTCCATATCAATTAGTGTAATTCTGTCATTTGTTTGATTCTTGTTATGGATTAACATAGTTTCATTAATATTATAAAAATTGGCCCCGATAGAAAAAGGTTTTACGATCCACCATTGGTTAACGCCGAGGGCTTCCAAACGGAGGGTTGTGAGACAATGAGGTTGTTTGACAATCGGCGGTTGGTGGCTTGTTTGTTTGGCTTGTTTGATTAGCTGAAAGTATTAGCTTTATGAATTGGCTTTTTAAAATTAGTTATTTAAGCCAGCTGTTTACGAAAGTGTTTGGTAAAATTATTTATGATTGTTACTTGTTTATTAGTGATAAAGTGGGCCAACAAGTCAAAAACCAATAGAAAAAGCTACTCCTATTAGCTTTTGGCTTTTGGCAGAAAAGCCAACTACCTTTGGTTTTTGGCGGAAAAGCCAACTACCTTTGGCTTTTGGCGGAAAAGCCAGCTTAAAAGCCAACAAAAAAGCCACACAACCCACTTAGCCATTTGTGAATGCAGATAGGACTAGTTGGAAATAGAATTGTTCACAAAATAATTGATTTACATCTTGGACTTTTTACGGTAATTTTGTTGTCTTAGATTTTGTTGTCTTAGATTTGAATGAGATATACCCATATGAATGATGTGTAGTTGAAGGTATAAACGATCTAACATAGTTGTTGGAATATAGGATAACTCGCTAAGTTTGGGTGGTGTTGTCAAAGCAAATGGCCAAGTGATTCATGCATATTCTATTGCAATTCGCAGAGTGAGTTTCATGTTCTTGTAGTCCATACATGGTTGTTGTGTTGGTTATTATATGAGCTATGAGCTATATTAATTGTTGTATCCCTAATGTTTCCAATCTCTCCTGGCCATTAATGAATGACAACCCCGAAATATGAACTGTCGGGTTGAATCATTTGGTAGAATATGCCAAAAATTTGATGAACGGAGAATGAGATGGGTGTGTGAGATGGGATTTGGGGGACCTTCTCCATTTTGCTTCCCAGATGCATTTACCACGGTAGTTAGCTTACTGGATCATGACTCATGTTGATCCAATCAATAGGTCCTTATGTGGTACAAACAGTCGGTCTTTCCAATCTATTAACTATTACTAAAACAGGAAATTGCTAACATCATCATCTTTCCCAAACTGTATACGTTTCGCTTTCTCATTAAAAATTTCCCACCTAATGCACTTATTGTTTGGGGTAAAAATACCCTAAACACGTGGCCCAATGGCCTAGTGACACGTGGCATCCAGCCGTTGGTCAGCAGGGCTCCAATCCTCTGCTGACACGTGTCCTCTAAACCCTAAAAGGGGAACCATCCCTTCCCCACTATAAATAGTGGAAGGACCCTCATTAATGGGGGCTGGAACATTTGTTGATCACATTGAATACTCCTCAAAAAGAAACACACTTACCCCGAGCAATATTAATTGCGGAATTCTCCCATTACGCGAGAAGTAACTTCCACATTACGTGCATTCTACCTCCCGTATCTTTACTAACTTGATCGTCGGAGGCGGAGCTCCTACCCCCAGGAGTCTTCGTGATTTTGCAGGCACAGGCGTCGAAGGGCATTCTTGGAATTGTAACTCTCCCGCAGGACACATCAAAAAACCCCGAAACACTTATGATGTCATATATATTTTTGGTTATTTTTTATTTTTAATCATTTTCATTTCAATCTTTTGACTGTGTCAATGAATAAATAATAAATAAATAATTATTATTTTTTGGTAACTATGAATGTATTTTTTTATTATTATTTTTATCTTTTTAAGGTTTTAATGTTATTTTGTGTATGTGTGTGGTTTTTTTTTTTCCTTTTTTACTAAGGATTGTGCAACCAACCTAACTATGAAGTCATGTACTAATAATATAGATGGTTGTTATACAAAAATTAACTAATGTTGTCGGTAAATGTTTTCATTGTTTTGTATTTCCAAGGTGCTTCTATTTATTTAAATTACAAGTATTTTTTATTTGTATTTCGAACTCTTAGATGACATATAAATTCGTATGCATATGTTTTGATTAGATCGGATTGGTCGGCTTTCATTTTTATATTTTGTTACTTATATAATTTATATATGATGACATATATGTTTTTATGATCTAATTTATATGTCCGCAGTAATAAATAACAGAAATAAGTTATTTCATTTCGGTAATTTTTTTAATCTGTGCATCGCACAGGCCTAATCTAGTTTTCTAAGAACCAAGTTCATTGGATTTTAGGAATCCCCGCGGTCGTAAACCGGTTGCAACTAACAAACATATGTCCTGGGAAGTTCGTGCTAAGGTTCAAAAAATATTATTAAAATATGGAAGGACATACACTTCAGTTGGCATTCCGGTAACGATAGAGATGATGGATAGATTAGAGGGACATTTTGAGGCTCACGAGGAAGAAGAATTCAAAACGTTATTTCTAATTATAGCTCTTCAAATGATCTTATGTCCCACACAATCACCTAGATCGACATCTGACTTGTTACTGGCTCTAAGTTGTTCTTGTAATTTCCATATTACGTGTCAAGTGGGTGACCCACTAATCTATTGTTTAAATTAATTAAATCCCACTATTTAAGTTAATACATATATCCAATTATAGAAATTCTCATATTAAATCAATACTGTATAAAAGATAAGTGTCCTTTGATGGATTGGATTACTTAGCCGATTAATTATTTATTTATAAATAATTAATAAAAGATAACAGTTATTGATATAAAAGATAGTTGGTTTTATCCGACTAAAACCGCGCCCTCTGCTCTCCTCTATTAAGGACAACTGGACTACATATATACATATATATATATATATATATATATATATATATATATATATATATATATATATATATATATATATATATATATATATATATATATATATATATATATATATATATATATATACATATACATATATATATATATCTACATGTACCTTCAAATCTTTTTTTCATGAACTAGATTTTCTGGGCTAATTTAGTTCTTATTTTCGGTAATGGTTAATTAAATAAATAACCATAATAAAAGGAAATAAAATTGGGGCTTTTATCATATTTGTGTATTAAAAATTATTATAAATTTATGACAATTTTATTTGGACATTATGGAATGCTTAAATGTTGGATTGTCCACTAATTTGAATTTAAGCTTAAAATTCATATTATGGTAAATTATGATTAACTCTTCTAAGAGTATGTCGTATGTAAAATTAATGGGTGTATGAATCACTAATTTAGATTGTCACCAAAGTGGCCTAAAGAAGTGAAGTATGCACTTATTAATTTAAATAAAAGATTAAGGAAGACTTATTAAGGATAAAGTGTGTTTGTGATTAGGGATTGATACTAGCCCAAAGGAGATTATTGATTTTCAAACCACAATATGAAAGTTAATTATTTGTGTTATTTATGTAGTTATAATGGAAACCCAAAAGTTACATGTAAATAGCACAAGTAATTGAATATTTAAGTTTCCATGGAGTGAACAATACATATGCTTAAATTTGCCCAAAGGAAAATTTTCGTGATATCAATGGTTCATCCTAATATTTTGATATGAGGTTTAATTGTGAGCATTGTGTTTTATTTGAACAGTTCCCACTTCATTGCATAACATGGCATCTGAAATGATTATGTTTGACGGGTCTAATTTTGCGGAATGGCAAGAAAGGCTTCAATTCTCACTGGGAGTATTAGATCTTGGCATGACTTTAATTACAGAAAAACCTGCGGAAATAACGGATGAAAGTACTCCAGCACAAGTTGAAAATTATAAAGCATGGGCAAGGTCTAATAGACTCAGTATGATGTTTATGAGAACGACTATTGC